AAAAAAAAAAAAAAAAAAAGTGTTGAGGGGAGGCCTGTTAAATATGAGGACATGGTCTCGCCACCTTTTTTTCTTTAAAGAAAAAGAAAAGGGTAAAACAAATGGTTGAAATGAGCAAGATAATTACCCAGGCGTAATTAGTGTGGCTGTGTGTTCTTGGTCATTGGCTGGCTGAATAAATTCGTGAATTCTCCAGGTTAACACCTAGTTGGTGTTCACATTTCAACAAAAAGCAGCTTGATTCTAAAAATCAAAGTGTAAAAGGCGGGTTTCCTCTGTGCCAGTGTTGGTTTGATTTTTGGGGTGGGTCATGTCTTTGTTCTCTTGGGTCCAGATTTATATAAAGCAGAAAATTATTAAGTGAAAATCAGTCTCTCTGGTGCTTTTTCTTTGCAGTTTTAATAATTAAATGGTGCCTATGTTGAGGTCTTGAATGCAACTTATAAAGGTTGAATTGTGCTATGTAAATATTAACATGCATATAATAACTTGATCTCAAAGCAGAAAGCTAGAAAAGTCTAGAATCTTTCCTGTGGATGCTATCTTGCTATCTGAATGCTACTTCAAGTCGAATATGATGCTAATGGTAACTTAAATTTCTAACACCTTTTGTGCACTTATCACAAAGTCTCCACTAATTTGAAAGTGTTAATCTGAACACACCTGGGGAGATGCTCATGTTTCTAAAGGGTTCTAGTCAATATGGCTAAATCTAGCCACAGTTGATTGATAGCCTCTGGTATGGGATCTGTACCCCATGCCAGGGTCGCAGTTTGCATTTTTCTGTGGTGACACCCGCAAATAATGCCTCACCCCCAAAGAGGAAAAATAATAATGCCCCAATCCTCTACTCATTATTATAGTGCCAGACCAATTGAGCAAATCACAGAAGCACAAAAGCTGTTACAGCGCAATCCTCTGATTTGATAGTGTGGAAACTGAGGCACCGATCTCTGGCTCTGGGAGCCTGGTGGTCCACCCTTCACCATCAAGACTTGAGGCCGTCAGAGATCCTGCTCCATGAGTTCATTTTGCTCCTGGGTCCTCTTCTGGTTCCTTCTATATTTTAATTTCCTAGCCTTCTGCACACTGAGGAGGGTGTTTGCTTTGAAATCAATGTTTCTGTGGAAACTAATTTTAACTTCTACAAATATTGATCACAGCGTTGTGAAAAGGCAAGAAGAGGGAGGAATGCCTTGCTATCTGGGCAGCAGAGCAAAACAATAAAGTAAAAGTGCGAAAGAAAGAAATGGGGGACAAACCAAACAGGTCTGGGGGGGGGCAGCAGACTGTTGGCACAGGGGTTATTTGTTGGAGAGAGTGAGCATTTGTGGGGGGGAAAAAAAAAAAAAAAAACAGCAGCCAGTCCTCCCTTCTTGCTTGCTACAAATGTGTTTTTTTCCTTAAAATGTATTTTTGCAAATGAAAGGTGACTTAAAATGGATGCATGTGTTGTTGGTGGCTGTTTGGGTTGGGAAGGGCTTGGAATCTTGGCAGTTCAGTGGTTTGCGGGAACACCTGCCCCGATTGCTCCTGCTGATCACTGCTGCAGGTTCCTGGTGGTAGTGGGGTTGTTCTTCAGCACTGTGTTTGAGATTACATTGTGTTTTTGCAGAAGATGACAGTCCATTGAAGGTCTCCCATCTTCCCTGCAGTCTGGTGGTTGCACCCAGGGAGAATGTTTCTTTAGAAAGATACCATGGGGGGGGGGGGATAAAATGTAACACTGCGGGTTTAGGGATGGCTTTTTAAGTAGCCAAGGGGAGGGAAACCTGTGTGGACCTGTGCGGACTTGGGCTGCCCTTGTGAACATGTTTGGGGGAAAGTGGTGCATTGGGACGTGATGTGGGGGAGACTGCAGTGCCTGGCATTGTTTGTGATTCCTGGGTATTTTAACCATGAAACATCTGGCAAACAACGAATTATGTGGCTGTCTGCATCGTGTATACATTTTACCACTAATTGCTTACGTTCGGAGGACTCCGTTTCGCTGTTTTAACTTCAATTTTCTCCTCCCCCCTTGACAAAATTGCGTCATTCTTTCTCTTTGCCCCTTCCCTTCTGCATCCCGCAATTAAAAATAATAATAATTTTTTAAAAAACCCACAACCCCCACCAAAAACCAAACCCTAAAAAAGAAAGCACCCCCCCCCCAACAGCAAAACCTTTAATTCTTGTTTGTTGTTCTGATGGTGAAATACTGCAGGTAGACACAGAGTCGCACCGCGGAAATGTCCGGGAAAAATTGCAGAGTCTGTTTTTGTGTGTGTGTCTGTGTTTTCCGTGTCGCTTGGCTTCTATGGAAAGAGCAGCAGCAGCAGCCGCCACCCTCCCCCTGCCCAGAGTGCGGGCAGTGCCGCCTTCGTAACCTGCGACTTACTTTCATTTTCTAGGTGCTGGAGAATCTGGTAAAAGCACCATTGTGAAGCAGATGAGGATCCTGCATGTTAATGGGTTTAATGGCGAGTAAGTGTCCTGTCTGACCAGGGGAAACCATAACTAACTGTGTACTAACCTTTAGGAAGCTAGGTAGGTTTTTAGCTTTGGGGTCGCAGCCAACTTTCACTTCATGGTTCTGACTACATAGTAAAAACCCTGGGAAGAGCTGTCTAGAGTCCTCCAGCCCCTTTTAATCTTGGTGCAACAAAGTTTTTGGTGTGTATGTAGTTTTTTTCTCCCCCCCCCAAAAAAAAAAAAAAAAAAAAACCCACCAGTGTTCTTGTCAAACCTGGCCCTTTCCAAGGACAAGAGTGCCTGGTTGCAGATGGACAGTTAACTTGGCCCTGTGACAGCGTCCCTGGCCAGGTCCCGTGCAGCAGACCTGCCATCCCTGCCCGCCCGGAGGCTCTCCCAACATGGCTGACACGGTGGCCACCCCTGCTGCGGCCCAGGCTGACCACCAAGAGCCTGGCTGTCAGCAGACTGCAGGCAGTCAACCAGTGCAGTGTTTAACACAAGTAGGGAAATGTTTCAGGAATATTCACTGCAAAACAAAGTTGAAAGTGGCGGCCCTCCTTAGCGGTCCCTCCCTCCTCCTCTCTCTCATTCCCTGCTCTCTGTCTCTCTGTCTCTCTGCCTCTCCCTCTCTCTAACATTACAGGCAAATCCTTGTTTCTTAAAAAAAAAAAAAAAAATCAATACTCCTGTCTCAGAAATTAAAAGGACACCTGGAAATGATGGAAGGACTGGGAATGTACTTCCCAACCTGTCAGAGGGCATTTTTGCCTTCGGAAAAGTCCTTCCAGGCCTCATGGGATAGGACAATGTGATAATACTGCAGTGAGAATAAAGAATTATTATTATTTTCAGAGCCTGTATTACAGATGTAGAAGACAGGTGTAAGGGGTACAAACAGGGGTGCTGAATAAAATCAGGGACTTGGCTTTTCTCCCCAAGACCAGGAACTGGCCGCAGGTCCTTCTCATGTAACAAAACGTGTGGACTAGGCCAAGTGGACCAGCCCTGTTCTCACGCACAGCCTGGGCGTGACGGGGACTGAGCTCACCAGATTACAGACACCTGAGGGCACTAGTTTGCAGTTACCAGCTGGTTCGCAAAGCCATTCCCTGTCTTACTTCCGAATTCACTAAAAAATGTAGCCCTCAGCCGCATCACCTGCTGTTTTCAAAGGGGTAGGAGTGAGTCCAGGTGACATGGTTTAATTCAGTCATGCCCCAAACAAAAACCAAACCACAGAACTGACCCTGTCGCCTGCTAGGCACCGAGCACTGGAGACAGGAGGACTCTTAGCACCTTTCCTGCGGCAAAAAACTGCAGTCTGGAGACAGCTCTTTATGGAAAATTCTAGAATCTGTTAGATGAACTAACCAGGGGTAAGAAAAGGATGACATCACCCACACGAATGGACGTTTGAGGTCAGAGTGCTTTCTGTACTCCAGCCCTGGACTCAGAGGGACTTGTTCCTACGAAGAAGGATGAGCTGTGTCTCACCACTTTGATGAATGACTTTCAAACAGCCATCAACATGCGCACATAGGACATTAAACAAGTCACCTTCACTGCCCACAAAACAGTTCTGAGATCCTTGATTCCTGACACACCCTTGGTAAAGCCTGGGCTGACAGATACTGACATCGGTCAATACACAAAGAATGAAATCGGGCCTTTGGCCGTGAATTTGTAATTTAAAGGAACATGTATCTCATACATAATTTAGCCCCTGCACCCGCTGGGCCACGCTTCATGAAGCAAACATCATCTGGCCATGTGCCCTCTGGGTGAATTGTGATTAAAACTGGACATGGTAGCGTTTTTACAAAGATACGGCAGCCAGTGTTTAACTTGGGTCCGAGGGAAGATAGCGCAGGCATCTAGTCACTGCCTCCCAAGTCTGGTCACTCTACAGATGGCCCTGCTTTCTTTGACTCTTAGAGGAAAGAGTCTCCCTTCCTCTGAGTGAGCCGGTGTGTGGCACAGGCAAGGCATTTAAACCAGGACTTCTCTGTTTTCTTTTTGGAAAGAGGAAGCGACAGCCCCCGTTTGCCTGCTTTGTAGAGGAAGCCATAGGTAATCTCCGAGGGTGTTAAATTTAGCCTGTGGAACTCACATACAGGGAATTCTCTGGGTGAGCCGTGATCACTTATTTTTATCTCGTCCAAGATGCGTTTTTTTTTCTGTTTTGTTTTGCTTCACTCTTTTTCCTCACTGCGGTATTGCGACAAAAGCTGTGTCCTCCTGAACAAGGAATTCCCTGTGCGGTGGTGACATCCAGCCATTCAAGGGTCCTGGCTGGATACAGGTCCCGGCGTCGCCGCCTCTAAACGTGTGCTTTGTGGGAGCCAGGCTGCACTCCGAAATCCGCCTTCACCCCCCCACAGGCTGCCATGCCAGCTGCATGTCTAGAGTAACATGTAATATTAATGTGACCTTCAGAAATCCCGAGGTCGAATGCGAGTTCCCTGCCTCCAAGCTAGCGCTTTCCTTACATTTCAGCAGAGGGAAGTAGAAACGCCGCGAAGGCCGGCTGGGCCATGTGCATCCCCGGGGAGCCAGATCCCAGGCGTAGCTGGCCCACCACCCACCCTTCCTGCCCTCTAGGAGGGACTCCTCCTCTTGGTGAAGATGGGGTTGGTTTTGTGGGTGGTGGGTTTTGTTCTTTTGGATTTTTTTTTTTTGGCTGCCTCAAGGTCCAGATCACAGATAACATTGTATGGCAGGACCATTGTTTACAAATAAAAATCCTGGGGGGGGGGAGGCTCCCCAACTGCAAGAAGGGCCATCACTCATTCTGCCCCAGGAGCGCACGGGCCACGTCTGCGCCTTTGTGTGTGCAGATGAGGCATCTTAGGAAGATGTGGCCTGGGACTTAAGAGCCCTTTGCGAGCCCGGGTCTCTAAAGGCTTGTGGGATGAATGGAGGCTTGGGGAGCTCCCCGGTGCATGTACATTTAGCGAGAGCACAAGAAAATAATTATCCGTCCCTTCTGGGTCCTGCCAGCCTCCAGAGGGCTCTGCTAATGCTGCGGCGGAGGTGTGGGCTTTGCCCTGCACCGCCTGCGGTCCCAGGAGCCAGGGTCCAGGTAGCCAGAGAGGCGACCTAGGAGCTAGCGGGAGGCTGGCAGTGGCGGCGCGGGTGTGGCGTGTTCTCCCGCCGTGTTTAGGAAGGCAGAGAGGCTGTGTGGGGGTTTTTTTTTTTTTTTTTCTTTTTCTTTTTGGAAATTGCAGTGCCTTGCAGATTAGGTCAGCTTTGAATCTCTCTTTAAAAGGGGCGGCGAAGAGGACCCGCAGGCTGCAAGGAGCAACAGCGATGGGTAGGCACATTCAAAAACAGAAAAAAAAATTGTGTAACAAACAAAACCAACATGAAGATCATACTGGGACACCAAGGGCAGGGACGTAGAGGAAGCAGGCGCCACTGAGGGACCGTCAGCCATGTCGGTTATCTGTTTCCACTGACACGCAGTCTCTCAACAAGCCAAGCAAGGCCAAGTACGAGATACCCTTTTTTTTGGCCATGCTCGCATGGTAATTAGATCCAGCTGGGAGGAAGGGTATAGATTTCTGCACTAGACATCAGTTCAGGATTCTGCGCACTGATACGTTGCCATACGGTTCCTACTCCCCCTCCCGATCTCTGCACTTCAATCAGCTACTTGTTTTTAAAACTCGCTATTAAATTCCATTCACCCAGTCAGTGGTGGGTCTGATTTAAAAATTTCAGACCTCTCTGAGAAAAATTCTCCTGCAGCTATTAACATCCACAACACTGTGCCCTCCTTAATTGGGGAGGGGGACTGCGCAATAAAAGCTTTGGCACCTTGCGGCAGGTGGATTTTACAAATCCTCTCGAAAAAGGCCTTGGGTCTTTTCAAAAACGATCCCATTTCTTTAAACGTGAGGCGCTTTAGATGTGCCAGCGGCCAGGGGGCCGGACAGTGGGCTCCACATTCTCCCCGGTCGTGGTCCACTTGTTTTCCTTAGCTTTTTGCATCCTTGCACCCATCACACACGTGCACACACGCACACGCACACACGCCAGCATGCCAGGTAGCCCTGCTCGCAGATTCAGCATGCCAAGATGGAGCAGCTGTTTTCTGAGAACACGCAGAACCGATGGACCTAGCCTAGGCTGTCTCCAAGAGGGACCTGCTGTGGCCACGGAAGGGAGGGGCAAAAGATTCCCGGGGTCGGGGACAAAGCCACTGACACATGTTTGTTCATCTGTTTCTTTTAGAGACTATTATTTCTAGATGCTGGCTACAGTCTCTCATCCTCCGGCTATGTCCGATCACAGTTTGCATGCTGGAATCGCTCCATCCCTAGCAACTTCTAATAAGAATACTATTCTGTTGTGGGGGGGCGGGGGCGGGGCCCTGCTACCTGACCTTGAATGATAACCGAAGCAGCCAACAAAAAAGTGAAATAAGATCTGTAATTGGCAGAAATGTGTAACAGTCCCAAACACGGGCATCTACGTAAAACTGAGTGCTTGAGTGTGCTGTACCAGAAGTTGGCACTTGAGGATAGAGAATGTCCATACACAACAGCCTGCTGTGCCCTGGGTGTCGTGCCCCGCCCTCCAGCCCTACTGACCCCTGCCTGCAGCTCACTCTGACTTTGCTCCAGCTAAATATTCAGTATTAACAACAAATGAGATGAATAAAAACTTCTCTGCATGTCTCAGCAATCCCTGGATCTGCGTCTGTCTTCTGTCGTCTGTATCTGTTTTCCAGTCCAAAAAGCACAGACAAACCTAGTAGGACAGACCCTCCCCTCACACTGAGATGGGGGGCCAGGACGGGGCTGCAAGCTGCTAACCAAAACAGTGGCAGTTCAAATCCACCAGCCGCTCCACGGAAGAAAGATGAGGCAAGTCTGCTTCCATAAAGATTTAGCCTTGGGAACCCAGTGGGGGTCGCTGCGAGTCGGAATCGACTTGCTGGCAGTGAGTTTGTGTTTTGGGTTTTGAAAAATCTCCTCTACACATGGGGGGGGCTAGCAACAGGCTGCCAGGAGGCTTTGCAGCCCCCGTTTTTTAAAGTCAATCCAAACTCCAGGATGGATCTGGCTTTGTTTTTGTTAAGGGGTTTCAAAACATCAGGGACAATTTCTCTGAATTTCACAACTTGATGTTAAACTGATTAAGCAGTAGTAAAAACGATGACAAACCTGCCAACCCCATGTAATCCCATCTCCGCAGTAAGTGCTTCAATGGGAGCCTTTTGTGTTTAGCGGTATGCACCCGAATTAGATCTCCGATTTCTATTTTAGCGTTTTTAGACTTGATCTACTCCCACACCTATTCACATACGTAGGTTACTGCTGAGCATGTCCTCAGAATACCCACATTTAAGACGGGAAGTTTCCCAATTATCATACTACCACTTAGACGAAATATCACATGGAGAGAGGAAAGCTCGGTTCCAGAAACACCCGGCCCCGCCCAGCTCTGTAGATGGGACATCTCACACTGGAACATGTGGCATCTCGCTCCTGTGAGCCTTTCGAAGCCACAGGTTAGTGGATCGCATTACCAAGGAAATGCAGCCTGTTCCTAAAATGACTGGGACTAGACTTGTCCTGTGGGGTTTTAGTAAATTCTACGTTCATGAGCGAACGTTAGGGGCAGCCAGACCTTGGCCTTTTTGGTCTCACATTTAAATAGCCGGTTTCACACGGTAAAGCCAAGTCTGGAAATCACGATAGACGTTAATTTCAGAAACAGTCGGATTCTGCAGGGACAGGGCACAGTGACCCCATGGGGGGGCACTTAGTCCCCTTAAATTGAGCAGTTGCCTGCTGGATTTGGGGGCCAGAGGTGAGCTTTGGGGGGTGTGCTGGAATGCCACACCCCTGGTTTGCAGGCACACCTTTCCCTGCCATATCTGCCCCTGAGGGTCTCTAGACAGCGTGTTTTCATGTAAACGGCCATGAGCGGTCTGGTGCTACCTGCCACCCCACCACCACATTAACTTTTGACCACCCCCAAGGATGGCAGCCTTGAACCCTTCCTTACTCCTCAGTCCAATGGGAAAAGAGCAGCTGGCTTTGATACAGAGGCCAGATCCTAGAAGTAGGGTGCGGAGAAGCAGGGCCCTTCAGAAAGTGAAGGCCCCCCCTCAAATCAGCGCCACTGCTGCTTCTGACGGGCGGGGTGAATGTCAGCCGTGGCCGTAATCACGGGCAAGAGCGGGTTCCTAAGTGGGAGGGGCTATGGCAGGCTTGCACCCAGTGTCCCCCACTAACCCCTCCTCGCCCTGCCCCCCACCCCATGCTGCTCTCTGCTCTGCGTCTCTGCTACCCTGATTCTCTGACCTTCTACCCCAGAGAGGCGTCCCCTCTCTTTCTGTCTCCATTCTGTGGCTGTGGGTGAGACAGCCACATGGGTGCTTCAGACTCTGGGAATCTCCAGGAATTTTTTAAATAAAAATTACAGCTAGCAAAAGAGCAGCTCTGTCCACCTGCCCTCCGGTCTCTCTCTGGCATGGACGCTTCCCCTCTGTCCCAGTGCCCCCCTCTGGAGAGCTGGGGTGATGGGGCTTGGCTCTGGCACACCTCTGCCATCAGGCCCCAGCACCCAACACGTAGTAGGTGTGCAACACGTGGCAGCTCCATTCACTGGGGTTCCACAAGATACGTAGCCCAGCAAGAGGGTCTTTCTTGGCCTCTGGCTGTGCCTCCTGAGAACCCAGGCTGCCAAGTGTCTGGCAGACGTGTGGCATCTGGGTTGACATGACCTGATACAAAGCTTCCTGTCAAGTTAGGGGAGCCTCAGAGCTAGGGGTGCAGCCTCCCCTCCCATCAGTGACTCGGTGTTCGGTCACTCTGCAGAACACACTGTGCTTCCGAGTTAAAACCACAGTTAACACAGAACAAAACCTGCGTCCTTTGCTCCACGCCCCCCCCCCAAAGCCTGATCCTGAGGCCTTCAGGGGGGGCAGAATCTGATTTCACCCCTCTTCCCACCGAGGGACCAGTCCACATGAGTATCAACCAGTGATGCCCCGAGCAGCGCCTGGCCGGTGACAGTTTCCATTACGAGTGGCTGGGCCATGGCAATGGATTGCTGTGCACTAGAGGCTGCTGTTTGTCGACCAGTTCCATACCTGCAGCCATTCCTGCTCCAGAGAGAGCCTCTAGCCCCACCTGAGACTCCCCCCAACCCACAGTGACACCCCACCCCCACACGGTGGGGGTGCTGAGGAGGGCCCCGTGGAACCCTTTCAGGGAGTATCCCAGCACGTGGAGCCACGTTTGAAACAGTAGAGGAACCAAGTGCAACTTCCGGTACAGTCACTGCTCATTGCCTGGATGCCAGTGTGCTGAAAGCCCCAGTCGGCCGTGTCCCTAGGACACGTTCGGGAGAGGGCCGTGGGGCGCTGCCTTTGCGCAGGCCTCCCTGCACAGACCCAACCCCACACCTCCTGGAAGAACAGAATACTATGCTTTTAGTTGGAATATCTTGACTGAAGCCACGCTTGGCGTCAACGGGGTGCAATATGATTTTGTTTCTCTTTTTAATCCCACTGTAGTGAGAAGGCAACGAAAGTGCAGGACATCAAAAACAACCTGAAGGAGGCCATTGAAGTATGTGTCAGCCCCCCCCCCCCCCCCCGCCTTCCCTAGCCGCCTCTCCAGGCAGTGCTCTCTCCCTGACTGCTTGCTCGTCATTTTCAGACCATCGTGGCTGCCATGAGCAACCTGGTCCCCCCTGTGGAGCTGGCCAACCCTGAGAACCAGTTCAGAGTGGACTACATTCTGAGCGTCATGAACGTGCCGGACTTTGATTTCCCTCCCGTAAGCTAAGCTCTTGCATTCAGTTGCCTTCGCCCCGTTCACCCGGCCAGTAGGACGCACGGGTGATGGGCGAGCCGGGCTAGAGCCCTGTGCGTCACAGTGGTGCATCAGTGACACCCGCACATAGGCGAGCGTGTGTCCAGACCACACACATCAGGAGCACTGACACTCGGGCGAGAGTTCTTCCCATGCAGATCCTTCACGTGTAAAACGTGAACCATCATCATGGACAGTTTCGGGAGTGGGGAACAGATCCCCGCCACCCCTCGTAAATCGTGGCTCCCTCATCCCCACCAGTCAACATCACACTTGAACACCACAATCCCCACTTCATTAGACTATAAATTTTTATGAGGGAAAAAGGCATGAGCTATGGCAGACTTAATTACTCCCCTGCACACTTCTCAGGACAAACAAAACTATGTTAAAGATGGCGCACAAATACAACTTGTCTGCTTAATGACACCTCAACCAAGGGCCGGCTCTGAGATTTCTAAGGGGCACGTTCTCGTAGCAAACATGTTACCAAGAAATAAATAATGTGGTCCTCAGCTAAACTGTAACTCAGAAGAACAAACCACGACGTAGACCACCTGGAAAAGTCTTTTCCCCGTGTGCCCTCCTGGGCAGTGATTGGTCTGCCCCGTAAAGAATTATTTGCCGAGTGCACAGCGTGGTCACGCTCCAGGGTGTACCTTGTGGCCCCTTCGTGGGTGGCGGTGGCTCCTAAGAGGGGAAGGGGAAACAAGATGGAAGATGCTGGCATTTAGAAGGCCCTGAAGGAAGAGACTTGTCCACAGTTGAAACAATGAGTTACTGTGGCCTTTTGTTCCGCTTTCGTGGGGATTTGTGTTGGTGTATTTTCAATGGGTTTGGCTGCAAACGTAGGTGTTACTATTGCAGCCCCACTAAGTATATGGATAGGTAAAAGTTTTAAAATAGCCATTTGTTGGGGAAGAAAAGAAATGGAAGCAGTGAGCGCAGTGTGTGTGCTGCAACCAATGGCCTGTTCTTATGAACTGAGACTCTATTCCTAATAGAAAATGGCATCCTATTCCAAATTCATCCGAGTAATTAGGATTTTGTCATTTTCTCCAACATCTGAACTTTATGTTCTAAGCTACCTTGAAGCTCTGTGCTGAAAGCGTCCCTTCGCCTCCTGCCTTGGTACATATTGATTCATTACCTCCAGGCCAAAAACGACAGATAGGGACCAGGAAGCGTGAACCTCTGTGGTTCTCGACCCAGACCCGTATGGACCAGAAACGGACCTCTCGCCATCAAAGCCCCGCAACTGCAGAAATGATACTTCCCTGAGAATACCCTCCTGCACTGGTTTTGCTTCTCCGTGTACAGTCGAGATGTCTATGGCTGAATTCATATAGGAGAAAACTCCCTCCCCTCGGAAGGGAAGATAAATGTTTTCATGTTGAAATGAAATGTGAATCATCCGATTTGAAACAACCTGGGGGGCCGTTTGCTCCTTTGTTTCTTCCGGTTGCCATCCCTACCAAAAGGGCAGGCTCAGAGTCGCCAGCGACTGCCCGTCGTCCTATTTTTTGCTCAAATTTGCGTTTTCCTAGAAGGAAACCTAGTCCCAGCACACGTTAGGAACGCAGCGCCCTGTTTTCACAGCGCTGAATCATATGCTGGCACAGCCTAACGCAGACGAGAGCATCTTCCGACTCAGGCAACTCTGCAACGGAGCGAAATGACTCAGTAGCTTACTGTCCCCTCCCTCCAAAAGGTGCAGGGGAAACATCACCCAAGGCCAACAGTTCACAGTAGTAGCAGACCAGCGGGGATGAGTGGCGGCTACCTTTTAACACGGGTACTACGTTAGGCACATCAGCTTGCCAAGTTGGCCCCCGCTTGGGCATCAGAGCGAGCTGTCGGCGTCCCCACGACAGTACCCGTCTTTCTCTTGCAGGAATTCTACGAGCACGCCAAGGCTCTCTGGGAGGATGAAGGCGTGCGTGCCTGCTACGAGCGCGCCAACGAGTACCAGCTCATCGACTGTGCCCAGTAGTAAGTGACCTCGCCCCGCGGCCGCAAGGCCCAAAATACTAACACCCCAGTCACTCTTTAGTGGAGTTATTTGCGAATGAGTTCTTTAAATAGAAGGCAAGCAGTTATTCCCACCTGTAGCTAGAAAGTTCTAGTCTGATTCATGTGTCTTATAAAGCCCTTAACTGCACTACTTATTGCACTGACTGTATTTTATGTAAGCAAGGAACGCCTGTTAGAGTAAAATAATAATTACTTGCTCTAAAGTGATGTTTGTTATTAATTAGCTTGAAATAAGTAATTGATTTGACCTCCAAACATTTAGGGGGATAGGACCGCTCTCACATGTTAGGTAACGAAACAGTACATTTTATTGCTGTAGCTTAGAAACATTACTGACAGGAACCGGGAGGTCAGAAATCCGTGTCCCCTCCCGGTAGTTGCTAATGGCTTTGCTGTGTCTGCTTGCAGGTAAGTGACTGTCTTGGTTACCGTCGTGTAGTCTTACCGGGCGGTAGGCAGGCTTTGTGTCGCCTCTGTCTCGTACCCTTACTGGTTCACTCACACAGGGACTGAATTTCAGGATGGTAAGTGGTCGGTGGAGACTGGGTCCCCGGCCCAGTGCACGGGACAGTGGCGGGGATCTCATCAAATGAAACTGACCGCCTGAGAGAAGGACAGGTTCGGACTATTAGGGGCCTGGTGGAGACCTTGGGCACTGCTTAGAAAGTCTACAGATTGGGGTGGGGACCATGAGCCCACCCTGGGCACAGCTCCCCTGAGTGAGCACAAGCCATGGACAACAGTGGCCTTTCAGGAGGGAGGAAGAAGGGGGGCAGTCCTTGAGTAATCACACAAGTCGCTGGCTTTCCCCTGGGGCCACATCTCCTGTTTCCTAAAAGCAGTGAGTTTGGGGAGTGCCTCTCTTGCACCCCTCTTCGAGTTTGAGCTGAGTCTCCTCTGTGAATTTGTAACTTGAAATGGCGAAAACTGTCATCCCGCCCCGTTTGAAAACAGCGTGCCCCGGGACCAATACGTGCTTCTCCAGAGTCCGATGTTAAGAAAGGTGCCGGGCGTGCCTGGCCCCGCTCCTCACACACGGCCAGGCCGGCTCCTCTGCTCGTCCCTGGCGCCAGCCACCTTCCGTCAGTGAGTGAGACCTCCAGCTCCTCCCATAAGTCATCTTCCTGGTGACATCTGAGTGACAGCGGCTGCTCAGGCGTGAGCCTGAGAGAAACGTGGGTTCAGTCCCCAGCCCTTTGTAGCATCCAGCCTCTGAGAGGGGAGGGCGGCCGCCAGTGGGGGAGGAGGAAACAATTCAAGAATGGATTTCACGACACACCTGCGCCTGGCGGCTACACGACCCTGCTGCTGCCTGAGACCCCACTTGCTGCCCCACGGGATCCTTCTCTGTGCCTGTCCCGTTTGCTCTCCCGGACTGCTGGCGGCCATCGGGGCCCCTCGTGTCTTTCCCAGTGGATGTAACCTCACATCTGGAGAGTCACCTTTTAACTATTTTATGACCTTGCTCCTCCCGTGTGTGACATAGCAAGCATATAGTGGTTGGGAACATAAAACCAGTCCAAGCTGGCTTTGACTGCTGCTGCCCAGAGCATCTGTGGAGCAGTCTGCGTTAGAAGTAGGAATGGCTTTTGGGATTGGGGGACAGTGCGGGGGCCCTAGGTATGGGTGATGTTTCAGCCTCTCTTAATATGTAAGTAGCTGGAACTCAGCCATTTTTGCTGTAGGAAGAATTAACAAGGAGCAGGACACAGGCTGACTCGTGAGGGTGACTTGGTGGCCAAGCCTGATGATGGTGAAGGTGAAAAAACAGGAGGGAGAAGGAGGTGGTGTTAGCTCCACAGCACACAAAACACGGGGTTCTCCAAGCGTCTTGCCGTCTCCGTTTCTGTCCAGGGTCTGTGACACGATTGGGGTGTCTCTCCCTGCCTGGCCTTCCCCTAGGAAGTCCATTGGCTTGTTCCACCGGTCACATGAGTGGACATGCAGGCTTCAGCACACAGGCACATTTGTATATTTTCTCAAGGACCAGGAAAACTGTCCATCGTGGCCGGTCTGTGTGTCCCCAACCCCCATGCCTTCTTCAGCAAAGTCCCTGATTCTCTACAAAGTTTGAACTAAAAGCTGGAAGCGCTAATTTTAGTAACGCAAAACAAATGGAAATCCTGGAATTGTTTGCGTTTTGTATTTTGGATCCAAGTCAGAAGTGAAGTCCAGGTAGGAGATTAGGAAGGTTTAACCACCCCAGTTTTGAATGCTGGGGGGCGACAGTTTCATCAACTAAGCCTGCTTTGGCAAGAGGTGTTTTCATTTTCTTTTTTTTTTTCCCTCACACCATTTAAAGGTTTTTCAAAGCAGCCCAAAGGGACTTCTCCCCCACCCCTCCTTATCTTACCACAGCAACTTTTGCACAGATTGTGGAAAGTTTTAAGGAAACTTGAGAGAGAGAGGGGAAAAAAAAGAGAACAAGGCAGCTTAAAACTTTTAAAATGTCGTCCCCGCTGGATGATTCACACAGCCCAGCGGGCGCGGGGAGAGTGAGTTTCGGGCTGAAGTGCCTTTATGTTAAAGTTGGGAGCCTGGTGCCTGGCCCGCGTCTTAAGCTGCCTGTTTTTATTTGTGGATCTGGGGTTTGGCTGGCCCCACTCCAGATGTCTCTCTCACAAGATTTGGTGCTGATGGTCTATTTATAGAACTGTGGTTCTGTTGTCAGGACAACGGTGCTGGAGGCCAGGGCGGCTGGGGAGCTATTTCTGGCGGGGTGCTGTAATGTAAGACTGATTGGGCAAGTTGGTGTCTCCTCTAAGCCAGACACACTCTGAACTGTGGGGAGGAAGGGGCGGCCCGGGCGGCAGTGTGCTTTTCTCCCTCGGGGATCGGCTGTGAGAATGGGCCCCCTTTACGACTGTCCCATGCACCCCCTCAACTGGCTTTACCATGCACTTGCCGTAGGACGGTGCTGGAACCTTTCAAAAGTTCCTCTTCCTGGTCGTGTGTCTAGTCTAGCGACGAGAGCAGGCTCCTCTCTGCTGCAGGCCAGGGCTGTCCTGCGGAGTCGAGGTGCAGGCAGGGACCTTCTCGCGTGGCGCTTTGGTTGAGTTTACAGTCGGGTCACTCAGAGACCCCGACCTCTGTCACCGCTGTACTCCTACCACAGAAGGAACCTAGCCCGCACGGCCACGAGGTTTTCTTTCCTCCGTTCTTTTGAACTAAAAGTTGACCATCCGGAGTGTTGTATTTCATGGAGCAACTGGAACGGAAGGGAACTTTGTGTTTGTTTCCTGTTCGGTGTGGTTAGGCCACGAAGGGCCCCTTTGTGCCAGCCTCTTTTGTTCTCTTTAATAAATGAGATTCTTAAAAAGGAGAAGGAGGGGGACCCTTTCTGAGTAACTCATTTCAGTCTCCTTTTCCCTGGCATCTGGGGCTGGGGGGGGTGCTGCCTTCCTTTAAGTGTGCCCTTCCACACGTAAAAAAAGCCAGTGGCTGACCTTCCAATTATCTGCCATTTCAGTCAAAGCCGAGCAGTGCAACAGTTCTCATTTTTTGTCGATCATTGTCAAGGGCATCAAATCTGATAATTTCCCACAATGCAACAGCTCCCCTTCCACTTCCTCCCCATAGTTACCTCTTCCCTGTGTCCATCCCTCCATGTATAAGCAGCCCTTCTTTCTCCCATGATTGTTCTCTCCAGGGAGTGTATCTACCTCTGGTACATGTTCAACTCATATGCCTGTCTTTTGTTTGGCTGGAAGCCACAGGTGTGGGTTCAATTCTAGACCTGAAGGGCAGCTATGGGCCACAGTCTCAGTGGTTCCACCAGGCTCTATCGGACCAGCACCTGGTCCCCTTCCCCCCCCCCAATGATTTTGAGTTTTGTTCCACATCGTTCTCCCTCTCTATCCAGGATCTCCTCCATAGAGCCCCCTCCGAGTGGGTGACAGTGGTAGCCGGGCACCGTCTGCTTCTTCTGGTCTCATAGTCGTACAGGCTGCGGATCGCATGGTGTTCCAGTCGCTAGGACTAATTGTTTCCATGAATCTTTGGTTCTCTTCATTCTTCTTTGCTCTGAATAACCCATCGTTCCAACTAGATGGCCGCTTGCAAGCTTTTAAGGTCCCAGTCGCTACTCGCCAAAGTAGGAGGTGGAGCAATAACAAAACCAATCTTTCAAGAGGAAAAGCCAAAACACAGCCCCACCACTGTCCTGGGCTGTGCCTGTGGTTGAGTCATCCCAGGCGTTCATGGGAAACTGCTAGAAGAATTGTTAGTTCCCTGTTCCTAGGGGCTGATCTCAAATTGCTCCAACCCTTCTTCCATCTTCTTCTTCTTCTTTTTTTTAATCTTAATTTGAAGTACCTTATTTGTCAAATGGCATTCTAGAAGTATTTATCTTATGTTCTGTTAGCTCTAATGCAGAGGTTAAGGAGAAGCTTTGGGTCATAACTGTTGACCTAGGCCAAGTCCCCTTTGACTCCATTCCGTGTCACTAGGGAATGATCATTTTTGTTTAGCTTGGCTTTATAGAGAGACAAATGGTGGACAGATTGATCGACCCTGTGAACACCACCATGTTTCTTTTCCTGCCAGCTTCCTGGACAAGATCGATGTCATCAAGCAGGCCGACTATGTGCCAAGCGACCAGGTATGCAAGAGTTCGCATGACCCAAGGACTCGAGACACTTTGAGATTTTTGCCCCAGAGGGGCAATTACTAATACTTCGATGAGTTTTGGTAATATCTGTTAACCTAAATCTCAATTTTCCTTTAGGATCTGCTCCGCTGCCGCGTCCTGACTTCTGGAATCTTTGAGACCAAATTCCAGGTGGACAAGGTCAACTTCCAGTAAGTTGAAGGTCAACTTTTTGAGAAAGCAGAGTTATCTGTATCTTGATGTTGCCTCTGACTAGTGGAACAATGGACCGGTGGTCAGCCCTTTGGGATAACCAAATGCCATTCCTCTCCTCCAGCATGTTCGATGTGGGCGGCCAGCGTGATGAACGCCGCAAATGGATCCAATGCTTCAATGGTACGGAAACTGCTCTTTGAGGGCGTTTTGCCCTCCTAAATGTGAAGGGCCATCTTTGCTCACCTTCTCCCCTTGGCTTTCCATCTCCCTCTGTTCCAATACTATGGCTTTTGTCTCCTTGTGGCTAAGATGTGACTGCCATCATCTTCGTGGTGGCCAGCAGCAGCTACAACATGGTCATTCGGGAGGACAACCAGACCAACCGTCTGCAGGAGGCCTTGAACCTCTTCAAGAGCATCTGGAACAACAGGTCTGTGGAGTGACCCTGGTTCCCCTGCTGGCTAACCACCCCCCTCCCCCCGTGTCCTTCACTGACCTCACAGCTCTGCTTGTACTCGTTATAGAACAGAATCTTGCGCAAGCTCTTGTGCAAGCATTTCAAGCTCCTTGCAAAAATAGGGCTTTCTTTTCCCTGGCCATTAAACTACCTTCGTTTCTTGTCAGATGGCTGCGCACCATCTCTGTGATTCTGTTCCTCAATAAGCAAGACCTGCTTGCTGAGAAAGTCCTTGCTGGGAAGTCCAAGATTGAGGACTACTTTCCAGAATTTGCTCGTTACACTACTCCCGAGGATGGTACGTAGCAGCTGAGCGGAGCGCGGCCCAGCTTATGGGTCCAATACAGTGGTGCATGTGTTAAAACTGCATCCTCGATGGTTGTCCATTTAGGGACATATGAGGGGAAGCAAGGAAACATTTCCCCTAATTTTCATTTGAAGACAGCAGAGTTAGAGAAGGGGCTACGATGACCCACTAGTTTGGTCCCATTGTTTTATAATTAACTTAAATAATGAAATATCTGCTTTCTTCATAGCTACTCCCGAGCCCGGAGAGGACCCACGTGTGACCCGGGCCAAGTATTTCATCCGCGACGAATTTCTGGTGAGTAGAACCCACCTTCTCTGTGGTACCTTCTCTGGTCCATTCCCTTTTTTGTATGGGTGTAAACTGAATTCACTCTAAATTTGGGGACGTAAGCGATCTAGTCCTTTAGGTTTATTTCCCAAATATCTAGTGTGACTTTTGTTTAGCTGTTTTTGCCCCTACGCTCCTTGATTTGGTTTTGTTTGATAAAACTGCAATGGCCAGTCAACAGTTGTCCTCGGGAGATGTCTCCCCTGGCGAGGGGGAAGTTCTTGAAGGGTGCCGCTGACTTGCCGCTGTCTGTGCCCACAGAGAATCAGCACTGCCAGTGGGGATGGGCGCCACTACTGCTACCCCCACTTCACTTGCGCCGTGGACACCGAGAACATCCGCCGCGTGTTCAACGACTGCCGTGACATCATCCAGCGCATGCACCTCCGTCAGTACGAGCTGCTCTGAGAAGGGAACTCCAAACTTAATTAAAGCCTTAAGCACAATTAATTACAAGTGAAACGTAATTCTCCAAGCAGTTAATCACCCACCATAGGGCATGATTAACAAAGCAACCTTTCCTTTCCCCCGAGTGATTTTGCGAAACCCCTTTTTCCTTTCAGCTTGCTTAAATGTTCCAAATTTAGAAAGCTTAAGGCGGCCTACAGAAAAAGAATTTCAAAAAGGCCACAAAAGTTCCCTCTCACTTTCAATAAAGAAAATAAAAGCAGCAAACAAAGAAATAAATGAAACAAATGAAATAAATATTGTTTTGTGCAGCATTAAAAAAAATCATAATAAATAAAAATTAAATGTGGGCAAAAGACAGGACTCTTGTGACTTAGTTGCGTCTTCACGCTGGCTGCCACTGTGCGTGATTTCAATGTGGTCCTGGTTCACTACATCAAAAGCTAGGTGGAGGTGACAAGGCCCCAGAGTTCTAAGTGGGTGCAAACTCTTGCCATTGTATGCATCTGTTGACCTACTCTTTGGGTTTCTTAAAACAATTTGCAAATAGGAAAGGCCCACCCACCCCTTGTCCTTCCTCCCAGTCCTGTACCCCAGAAAAAAAGTTGTTCCCCTGTCAAAAGAATTCTCCATTTTTATCATTGCTGCCCTGTCCAGTAATTCTTAACGTTGTCATACATTGTGTCTGTTGACCCAGTCTCCCTCAACAATATGGTGGTGTGTGTTTTGCTCTCTGCCAGCTATGGACTCAGTTTTGTGCCTAACTTAGGAGCACAGTATTTCAAGTCATGAGGGAAAGTAAGATTATTCAACAGCTCACTAACCATTTGGGAAAAGGTTACACTGGATCTCTACTTCATTCTGTCCACTGAAATGAATTCCGTGTGGGTCACTCAAACATAAACATTTAAATAGAGATATCGAAGAATGGCTATCTTTACAATTACTCTCGATTTATAGAAGACCTGAGTATGACCCAAAAGCCGTGAATGGGACTAAATGACTATACAAAAATTAAAATCACATATAAAACAAAAGATGAACTGGATGGGTGTGGAGATGAGAAAGTAATGGTGATTTCCATAATAAGCAAAGAGTGCTTAAGAATTAAGCAAAAAATTATCAGAAAATAGACAAAATATGTGGACATACAAATTATATATATATATATATATACCAAAAAAAACAACCCCAAACTCAGCACTGTTGAGTCGGATCCAACTCATAGCGACCCCTCCTTGGGTTTCCAAGGCAGTATCACTACGGATGTAGATTGCCCCACCCTCCTTCCAAGGAGTGGCGGATATATAAAGATACAATCTGCCAATAAACGTGGAGGGAAATGTGACACTTCACACACAATGAAAAGCAACACAGATCAGAGCAATTGGTTTCACCATTATTGGTGGGGAGTCACTGGCACCCAAGGGGTCCTGTCTCCAATGAAATGAGACCCATTTGGAGTAAGTGACTTGACTCAGACCCTTAATCCTTTACCTCCTGGGTATGTCCCTTAAGTCTGCTATGCCCATGGTGTGGCTCTCCTGAGGGATAGAGGAAGAGACCAGCTAGCCCTAGCATCAACCACTGTGCCTTCTGAAAAGAGGTAGAAAGGGGACGGGATATGAAGTTGAGCCCACAAATTCCAATGAGCCTCCAAACCACAAACCACCCCAAATACAATCTATGAGAAAACTGGGCAGCTACACACCAAGTAACCGCTGTGTGACCCAGAACTGAGGGGCCCCTGTATGCCCTTCCTACCTGGACATTCTGGAACCTCCACCAAATAATCCTTGTCACAGTATGAGCCATGTGTCCATCAAAATGAGAAAAGAGATTCCCAGGCCACGCATGGAGCGCTTTTCCCAAGGAAAATGACACACTCTAGCATCCCACCTTGCTACTCAAAATCATCATACATTTTGTGGTATTTTCTAGAAAGAGGTAATCAAAAAACAATTATCCAGCATCTACTATGTGCTTCATTACTGGGTCCCTACCTCATTTCCTTACACCAAAATGAATTCAATGTGCTTTTCATGCAGCTTGCCCTCGCAAAGACTCAATGAGATAGGTCTGGCTGTTCCGCCATTTTATCAGTGTTCTGCCATTTTGCCAAGGCTTGAACGGTGGTCAAGGGGCCAAAGGGCCTTGAGCAAAGGGACACAGCAGGGAAGCTGGCCTTCAAATTAAGGTAGCCCCGCACCACTGCTTCACCACTGACTACACATGCCCCTCTGGAAAATGCAGAAAACAAGAGGCTAGTCTCCTGGTGTTCTCTCCTGAGTGCCTATTGTCAGGAGCCCATTACCTGTGACCACCGGAGGATCCTGCATGGCACCGTGGAATCTAGGGTGGATGGTGGGGTGGGAGCTTCTCTTGTGACATGGTCTCTCTCCTCCATGTGTTAGACTCACTTCTGCCTTCCTGCCAGCTTAACTGTGGCAAGTGTGTCACTCACTTGTTTTTGAGGTTGGTTCTTCTCTTAGGACTCACCCTTCTTTAAAACTTTTTCATTTCCACTTTCCCTTTTGCCCCAAACACACCTTTTTTAGGGTTATTTTAAAATAATGAATTCTAGGATCTTCAGAAGAAATGACCGTATCCACACAACCCTCCTTGGTCAGATGGTGCTCTTACGTTTTTACCACAATGCTTTCTTGGACATATTTGGTCATCTTTTCCTTTAATTCATGTATAGAGTGTACTTATCCATGCCAGCTTCTACCTTTTCTGGTTAATGAGGTTTATGTTCTAGAGCAGGTGAAACACGTTGACCAAATAAATAATCAATAGAATTACAGATGGTGACAAGTCTCTGAGACAATAAACAGGATGAGGGGGTAGGGGATGGGAGGACCTAGGGGAGGGTGTACCCAGGAAAGATTTCTCTGAGGAGGTAACTTACTTCTGAGGATGCCAAAGGATGACACGGAGCTTGCCATTCAAGTCAAATAGCTACCACCATTATTTCAGATAACTAATAATTATTGTAGGAGCTCTGGTAGCATAGTGCCTAAGGCACTTGACTGCTAACCAGAAGACTGGCGGTTCAAACCCACCAGCCACTCCTCAGAAGGAAGGTTGGGCAATCTACTTCTGTAGTGATACTGCCTCGGAAACCCAAGGAGGGGTCGCTGAGTTGGGTCTGACGGCACATAACAACAACAACAACAACAATTATTATTATAACCTGAAACCTAAAATTTACTGAGCACTTTTTTTGGGGGTGGGGGGGAGTTTAGTATATGCCAGGCACTGTCCTAGGTCCTTTGTACAAGTGACGTCATTTAATCCTTATAAAACCCTAATGCAGTAAGTTCTACTATTACCCCATCGTACAGCTGGTAGTTCAGAAGTGAAAAAGGGGTTATCTCTAAAAGATTGTGAATAGTTCATGCAAATCATGTTTTTAACAAGGGCTTATGCTGCACTTAATTTGAGAAATCGATACCCAGGTTCCCATTTTACAGTTGGAGATTTTGTGTCTCTAGAGGTCATTTTTCAGCATTTACGTATTCGTAGTTTATAAACCATGTCATCATGAAAGACCAGTCAGTAGAGGACATCACATGTGGTCAAGCTTATGGTCATTGATGTGGAGAGACAGTGGCCTCATCAATGGACTCAAACATATGAAGGATCATGGATATGGCACAGGACAGGGCAGCGATTCATTCTGTTATACACAGGGTCATCATAAGCGGGATCCAGCTAACAACATACTATGAACAACTAGAGCTCTGTGTTTGCCTACCTTATTTAATTATTCACTGTGCTTATTCCAAGACAGATCTGTTCATTCTTTAGGCAGTCCAACTTCACAGTCGTCAAGGATTTCATTCTACTTCGGTCCACAGTCAACACCCATGGAAGCAGCAGTGTCTTTCCGCTGGCAGAAAGAACAAATCTGTCTTGCAGGAAGTGCAGCCAGAATGCTCCTTAGAAGTGAAGATGGTGAAAGTTCATCTCTTGTACTTGGTCATGTTACCGGGAGGGACCGGTTCCTGGAGGAACATATCCTGCTTGGTAAAGTGGGGAGTCAGTAGAAAAGAGGACACCCCGCAATGAGCTGGATTGACACAGTGGCTGCAACAATGGGCCCACGCATAGCGACAACAGTGAGGATGGCGCAGGAATGGGCAATATTTCATTCTGTTGTACATGGGGTTGCTAAGACTTGGAATCAACTCGACAATACCTGCTAACAACCACAACAACAACAACTGGCGCTCCATGGTATACTCAATATTCTGTACCAACACCATAATTTAAAGACATTAATTTTTTTTTCAGTCTTTTTTTATTAATTGTCCTACTTTCACAGACATATAAGGCAATTGAAAATAGCTAGAGAGCTAGATTTAAAAAGAAAAAAAAAAAAAAAACCTGTCTGTTCAATAACATACATACACACCAAGTAGAGAGTTTTCTAATTTTCTGTTGCACGACATTAATGGAGCATCTACAAAAATATCCAATGGCTGTACTTGCTAAGGATTAGAGATAGCAGTTAAAGAAACAAACTTTTAAATCATAAAGATATATTTGCATAATTCTATGGAAATAAAAAGCCTTGATGAAATAGATCATTGACTGGAAAAATACTGTTGACCAAAACTGATCCCAGTGGAGACAAAAAGTCTAAGCAGACCAGTTAGCACAGAAAATGGAGTAGTTAGAGAGCTCTGTGACAAAGGGCTCCAGGCTTTGGTTGGAGTGAAGGGCTAAGGTGGGAACATGAGGGACACTGCAAGGTTGCTAGTAAGTTTCTATTTCTTGAACTAGATGCTGTTTAAGCAGGTATATTCCATTTGAGAAAATTCATTGGGCTGTATATTTATGATGTGTGTACTTTTATGCATTTTATGTGTGTATGTATTTTATGTATTAAAATTAGAAAAAAAAAGGAAAAAGGCACCAGGCCCAGGTGGTTTCATAGGGGAATTCTACTAAATCTTTGAAGGTCAAATAATCCCAATGCTACTTAAACTATTCCAGGGCTTAATAGAAGTAAAATGCCTTCAAAAGTATTTTCAGGAAGCAAGTATAGAATTGGCTCTAGACATCTCCCAAATACTGCAATTTTAAAATCTTAATATATCTTAATATATCAATTTTAAAATCTTAATATATAAGCAAACAAAATCCAATATCACAATTTAAAAATAATACATTAAGTGAGATTTATCTAGGAATTCAAGACTGGTTCAATATTAGCAAATAAAGTAATATTATCCATCACATTAATAGAGCTAAGGAGAAAAGTAATCACAGGGTCATCTCTGTAGATGTAAAAAAGGCATTTGTCAACATTTAATATGCATTCATGATTTTAGAAATCCAGTA